ACTTATGTTTTATTTTTTATTTGTGATGTTGAAAATTTTTTTTTTATTTATTAATTTKATTGTGTCAATACATCGAGCATTTTTACAATGTCATAATTTACAAATTTTGATTATATGTTTACATAGTATTTATAATAATTGAAACAATTAAAACGAYGTTGCACAGAAAAAATAGGGAGTTTGTAATTTGCACCAAATTAAAGATATGTAATTTGCACCATTGCAAGTAGTCAAAAATAGTGTTTGTAATTTGCGCCAAAATAAAGATACGTAATTTGCACTATCCTCAAGTAGTCGAAAATAAAATTTGTAATTTGCACCAAAATGATTATTTATTTGTTCGATATCGAATATTCAATTTTGAAATATTCGATTATTCCTCGGTATCTTCGTAGACGTCGAGACTAGATGGACACGAATGACAATAATAATTTTTCGGTATATTTTGCCTTATCTGGTGATATTTTGACGTTTTACGTCCAATTATCGGTCGTAATCGCATTATATGTATTTATATGATTAAATACTAAGCTACCTTTACGTTACGTTTACGTTTACGTACTTTTTTTGTATTGATTATTTTACAATTTTGTATAAAATTTTTACAACAATATGTGCATAAGCTCAGCTATTTTATAAATAAAAACTAAGCTAAATTTATATTAGGATATAAAAACTTGTAAGTTTTTAYTATCGAAAGAATAACCGATTTTAATTTTGGTGCAAATTGCAATTCCTATTTTTTAATACCTGAGGATGGTACAAATTACAAACGCATTTWAAAAAAATTGTGCAAATTGACTATAGCCAAAGAATATTCTCAATGTAACAATAWAACATGMCCGTTTAGTATGMCGTGATGATCGTTGAACGAGTAGTAACTAGCTATTGTTGTTTTCAATTATACTAAATGTATGAGACCCTGGTACTCCGACCCTATACTTCGATCGTTTAACATAATATTATGGTTATAGTATATAGTATAAATCCAGCGTTTATCCCGATCGTTGACCGCTGTATACTCCATGGCTACATCCGTCTTTTTAATTTTAAACGGACGCGGCCCAGTTTCATGATTTAACTCAGTATTAATAATCGATCGATTATACTCAGTGAGAATAAAAACATATATTTAAATAAAGAATATATAATATAATATTTTAATGTACAATAATAGCAGTTCAATACGAGTTGTCATAATTTAATTCAGTTCGTAGCGAAGTATTGGTTTTAAAATAAATATTGTAATAATTTTAGCTTAAAATGCTTATTAAAAAAAATGCGGAAATATACCTTTAGTATTTTTAAAATGTATATAATAAACACGTTACCTTAAATTAATTTTAAGATCTAGAACCCAACGATTTTTTTATCGATATTTATAGAACAAAAAAATTATTAAAAAAAGCGAGAAAGTGGGTAACGTTCTGCTGTATATCAGATGTCTAGAAATAATTCACTGTAAGRAATGTGTTAAATTTTAATTCAATGATCTAAATCATTGTATACGATGAGCGACTCTGAGTAAAGACGGTCTTGTTAGATAATAATGTTAGGTACTAAGTATATTTTATGATATGTGATTAAAGTAATTTATTTTACAATTAGGCAATAATATTACAGTATAGGATACATTAATTTTTACTGAAAAAATTGCGTTAGGGAATATTATTGTGTGTATAAAATATATAGGAATATTTTAATAATTCTAAAATATTATTTTTTTGTCTAAACATCCAATTTCATCTAAATTTGAACTTAAAATGTCGATTAAAAAACTGTCAATATAATTAGTTTTAAATTACAGTATTCTTATGTATACATAGAACCTTGTTTTAAATTGTCAATCCTTAGCTAAAGTGTTTTCTATA